GTGTAATTTTAAACTTATATTGTTAATCTAAGCTCAAAGTAATTTGTGAAGAATCAGCTTAGTCAAGTTCTTGTACACCCCTGCTTGTAGTAGGCTTGGCACTTGATCCCCGATGGTCCAAATGGTAGATTGACAAAGATTAAGCAACCCAAGAGGTGGCACGGGCATGAATAGCCCGTAATCCAAATGGTAGACACCGTTCCTTAACATCGTTTTCCTATCCAAAATCCATCCTTCATACGATGCAGTTCCTATTGGCCCATACGAGGGACCTCCTATGTATAACCTTGAACCTACAAAAATTGTTTGTTATTGTTTAAAATGTGAATATTGTTTGTACCTAAATAATATTCACATTTTGTACTACCAGAATCCTCCAGATGTCCCTTCCAAGTGCTATATACAATCATACTGGATTGATGTTTTCTCCTCACAATTACCTTCCCGACACAGGAGCCTTGTATGGTGACATCACTACGACAAAGAACATGTATTCAGTCCGGCTCTACATGCAGATCATGATCACTATTTATCCTATCAATTTTCACAACACCAGCACAAGTCATCATGCAAACGAAGACAACACTTGCAGTGCGTATTAATGCTGACACATAAGCACCGAGTAATGTTGGTTGATGCTTATCACCGCTCTTACTACAACACGCTCATCACATGTACGTCCTATGTGGCACCACATAGGCATGACGGACGCTACAGAAGACCTATTGGCCAATATGTAGTTACAGCCCCCGCTCCTGTGCCAGGTAAGAGCGGGCTCACCATAGCCCGCTCCTGTGCCAGATAAGTCCACTAAGGGCTCACCATAGCCCGCTCCTGTGCCAGTTAAGTCCACTAAGGGCTCACCATAGCCCGCTCCTGTGCCAGGTAAGTCCACTAAGGGCTCACCATAGCCCGCTCCTGTGCCAGGTAAGTCCACTAAGGGCTCACCATAGCCCGCTCCTGTGCCAGGTAAGTCCACTAAGGGCTCACCATAACCCGCTCCTGTGCCAGGTAAGTCCACTAAGGGCTCACCATAGCCCGCTCCTGTGCCAGGTAAGTTCACTAAGGGCTCACCATAGCCCGCTCCTGTGTCTAGTAAGTCCACTGCGGACTCGCCATGATCCGTAGTGGAACATTTTGTTCCAAGTTTCTGAATCAAAAACAACAAACAGCCAATATGTGGCAGATATTTATATTCCTCCAAAAATCATTTATATAATAATTCATTGCGTCAGGAGACATGAAGCTTATATACATAAAATAAAACAAATAAATGCCCACGCACGCGCGCGCACACACACACACTTTACCAAACCAGAGTTGGTTTGGTAAAGTTGACCAAAAAGCCAGAGCTCAACCCCCGCAAGCACAACTAGGTAAGTACTTTAGGATTAAGTCAAGGTCCCCCCCCTTCCCCCTCATGTCAAATTACTGCCCCTCCATAGGATGCAATTCTACAACAATTGCCTGATTGATTGATTGATAAAGATTAAGCCACCCAAGAGGTGGCACGGGCATGAATAGCCCGTAAGTGGAGATTTTTTGGAGTGAAAATTAACAATTGCCTACATGTTATTGTTTTAGATTCAACTACTCGAAACAAAAAGTTCCAAGTAGCATGGGCTATGGCTAGCCCCTAGTGGACTTACTTGGCACAGGCGCGGGGCTGTAACTTCAACAATTGCCTAATTCCCGGGTACCTATATATACTGCTAGGTGAACTGGTGCATTAGGTGAAAGGAAACGTGCCCAACCATTTCTATCCCGCCCGGGAGTCGAATCCAGGATCCCGTGTCTATGTCTTTCCTTAACTACACACAATAACAAATATATGACAAACATCTCAATGTATTTAAGATCAGGATAGTAAACGCCGTAAACATCTGGGATCTGAACCTTACAAAACTCATCGCCACCAAATACTTGAAACGTTCCCGCTCGTCCTTGGAATTGTTTAAGATGGGAATTTATGCGATACTTCAATTGCACTTGATCAACGTGGTTACAGTGGATGCGGGCTGCAAACACGAACAATTTGCTTGATCAGACACTCAAGAGTCTGGTATGATAAAACAAACATCAAAAACACATTTGCTAAATAAAAAAAAGACAGAAACATTGTCTATTATTTATTGTTAAAATCTGAGCTATACGACACACTGACACCACAGGAAGGCACAAAATGTTCCCTTTGTCTCCAGTTTTCTACGCTAGTGCCAATGTTTTTGTCTATATTCTTTCTTCCCAGGCTATACCGGGTGTAAACAATCAATTAGCTCCTTTACTGGGGCAAAACTGTGATTGTAAACACACGAAAGCCGGCATATACAACTGCTGTGAGGCTGGGGGCCCTAGAGCTGGAGCCTGTGTAGGTGCAGATAACTGGGTGCGGTGAGCATGATCACGCCGAAGCACCACCGGGTTATAAGGTCATCAATATGCACAACTCTCCATATTCAGTTGTCAGTTACTGACACATTCCTGACAGTGGCATTATTTTATGCATGGCTAGAGCACTGCCAGCCGTTGCCATGGGCTCTGTAGTACAGAGCTCATAATAATCTGGTGCCACGGGTCGTGATTGTGTTGTCATGGGGTCGCCGATTGTGGTACAGGGAGCATGATAAACAATCCTATATGGTTTTCGAAAATGATGCATTGTTCATCATTCAACGCTGATGACATCTGGGAAGCACCAATGTGCTTCAAAGAAAAATTGATTGAGAAAAATTGAGAAAATGAGAAAAACTTCATTGTATTTCAAAGAAAAAGTCAGGTAAGTTCCGAGCCAGCTATAACTGTGTTTCTTTCCAAGAAGGCTGTTATTTTATTAAATTTTTATGTTCAAAAGAACATTATAGGATGAATACTCAATAAGGAACTTTCTTTCTTCAAAGATAATTTACTTATAAATATTTAAATAAATATAGCCATGGCTAACAAAAAACATTCAGATTTTACTTAGGCTATGATATATGTGCAAATTATAGCCTAGTGTTAAAGGGTCCTGTAGTACAGTGGTCTTCGTCCTTGACTCATAACTGAGGGACCTGGGTTCAATCCCTAGGCAGGTCGGAAATTCGTTGGGCACGTTTCCCTCCAGCTGATGCCTCTGTTCAACTAGCAGGAAAATAAGTACCAGGGAGATAGGCAACTACTGTGGGTTACATCAGGCTGTGGGTCAGAAGATGACCTATAGGGGTCATCTCGGTAAGCCTAAGTACAGGCTTCATGTCCAGATAACGGAAAATATATCACAAATAGTGATATATGGGCTCGAACCTCCGACCTAGTGACCACCCGTTAGCAACACTATCCGCTCAACCAACTCCTAAAAAAAATAGCAACTATATATATATAATAAATATGAGTACCACCTCTAGCTGGACGAAGGGGGACCCATAGCCTCGGAGGAAACCACGCATAACGCATTAGAGGGAATGTTTACATCCCCTCCAATACTATATATATAACTATATATATATATATATATATATATATATATATATATATATATATATATATATATATATATAAATAACTGAAAACTCACACCCCAGAAGTGACTCGAACCCATACTGCCAGGAGCACTTTGCAACTGGTGTACAGGACACCTTAACCACTCGACCATCATCACGACCGGACAAAAGATGATGGTAGCCGAGGCTATTTCCTCATCATTCCGCCGGCACTCTGATGGTAATCTTGGGCATAGTATTTTATCAAATCACCTCATTCTTTGGGGCACACGTGAGGAACACAAATGTGTGTTTGTGTTCCTCACGTGTGAAATTTACTTTACTAAACCAAACGGCGTTACGATTTAACAAGGGTTTAGGATGGTCCGAAACGCTGTCTCTTGCCTTTCAATTCATGTGTGTGGATTTAGTTATTTGCCATTACTTGTATGGACAATGATACTGTTTTATTCAAATACAAACATACAATTTCTTTGGTGGATTTTATTGACGCCATAACGCCATACATACTAATTAAAACAAATCGTACACTAAACCTAATCAAAATTTGAATGCCATATTTAGATACTGATCGACAAATTCAGTTTCATTAATGAATTGCATAGATTTTGGTCTGTAATTAATAGCAAGTAACTATTACAGGCATCGAGTTCAGACGAGAGCCTGCTTCTGTACTGACAGGGCAATGACACTCACTGTAATGTTGATGACAGGTGCCTGGGAGTACTGACAGGTCAGTGGCACTCACTGTGGAGCTCATGACAGGTGCCTGGGAGTACTGACATGTCAGTGACACTCACTGTGGAGCTCATGACAGGTGCCTGGGAGTACTGACAGGTCAGTGGCACTCACTGTGGAGCTCATGACAGGTGCCTGGGAGTACTGACATGTCAGTGACACTCACCGTGGAGCTCATGACAGGTGCCTGGGAGCACTGACATGTCACTGACACTCACTGTGGAGCTGATGACAGGTGCCTGGGAGTGCTGACAGGTCAGTGGCACTCACTGTGGAGCTCATGACAGGTGCCTGGGAGTACTGACATGTCAGTGACACTCACTGTGGAGCTGATGACAGGTGCCTGGGAGTACTGACAGGTCAGTGGCACTCACTGTGGAGCTCATGACAGGTGCCTGGGAGTACTGACAGTGACACTCCCAGTGGAGTTGATGACAGGTGCCTGGGAGTACTGACATGTCAGTGACACTCACTGTGAAGCTCATGACAGGTGCTTGGGAGTACCGATGTCAGTGGCACTCACTCTGGAGCTCATGACAGGTGCCTGGGATTACTGACAGGTCAGTGGCACTCACTGTGGAGTTGATGACAGGTGCCTGGGAGTACTGACAGGTCAGTGGCACTCACTGTGGAGTTGATGACAGGTGCCTGGGAGTACTGACAGGTCAGTGGCACTCACTGTGGAGCTCATGACAGGTGCCTGGGAGTACTGACAGGTCAGTGGCACTCACTCTGGAGCTCATGACAGGTGCCTGGGAACACAGACAGGTCAGTGACACTTACCGTATCGTCATTGATGATCTCCCTGCGGTCTCTGGAGCTCCATCGCTTCCATACGCCTCCCGTGGCCCTGAGAGGGTGTCCGTGGGCCCCCGGCAGCACATGGCTGGCCACCACCGTCAGGAGCACGATGAGGGAGGGCATGTGCAGCCTCTCCCGGGGCCACAAGGTCGACAGCTGCCCGCACGCGTGGTGTACGCCCCTAGCACGGCCAGGGGGTTTGTTTTGGTTGTGTGGTGGTGGGTGGGAGAGTGTGTCTGGCACTGGCTCCCTCCGCACCCACTGGCACCACCACACACCGCTGCTCCTGGGCCTCCCTGCTGCTGCTCCTCTAAGGCCTCCGTCTGCCTCCATGGCACTAAACCACGCGGCGGCCCGCACTAATCAATGAATAACGTGGCACTGGGGGGGGGGGGGTCGTCTGCTACTCCACACTTGCCTGGCACTCACACTCCCTAAATGAAAGTAACATCATCTTCACTACGAGATTACCGATGCATAATCACACATTTTCCACACAATAAACGTCATCTCTTCCACGAGTGGGGGTGCAAAATGCTTAACACGTTTATGTATAAAAATCAAGCGGCGGTGCCAGGCCGATGCCAAGCGTGACAGGTGCGGTGTTGGAGTTAGACTTGAGGTCACAGGTCAACCCCCTGAGGAGGTGAGAGGACCAGAGGGGGAGGAGGGGGAGAGGAGGCAGATCACCAGTGTTTAGTGTTCGCGCGAGACCGCTACATCACCCTACTCCTCCAACAGCCCAGGCGACACTGAGCCCCCTACACTCTCACCACCCGACCCCCGACCTGGCCCTGTTGCCATACGCAGGCGCCTCCACCACCACGTGGACCAACACAAACACAAACATAATCGCCCTTAACCATCTTACTACTCTCGAAATGGCCGATATTAACTCTGAAAACTCACAAAACGCCACTCGATCAGCATACCCGCTAAAGAAACTCAGATGTATATCAATTGTTATCGTCAAATGAGTGGAGAATGTAAAGAGGCAACATTTGCGGCCAGTGAGTGAGTGTGCTCTTCAGCTAGACTAGACTTAACTCACAATACTATTCTGTCCCACCAAGGTCATGGACCTCCTACTGCTAATTAAACTCCTTTAATGACTAGAAATTCAGTTTGTTTTACACGTATATGATACGGATAAATTGAAATTAAAATTTTGCTTATCCGTGTTAATAAGAGGCCTTACGTTCGTGCATTTTGTTAAACGTTTTCGTTAGAAAAAATGTACATAGGCTCCCCTCTCTCTCCTATGTACATTAAAACCCTTATTTACATTTGTTAATACATCTTCATGTATGTGTACCACCTCTTTATATATGGATATCAATCCATCCTCCTGTTTTTCATCTTTCTAAAGATGTATTAATGTGAAAGTACTTTCCTGTCTCATTTTCCTTCGTGGTTACACATTGTCTATATATATATATATATATATATATATATATATATATATATATATATATATATATATATATATATATATATATATATATATATATATATATATATATATATATATATATATATATATATATATATATATATATATATATATATATATATATTATTAAATATGACCGAAAAAGTAAGATTAATAATTCTAACACGAATTTTCTCAATCTTTCGTACATTATGCTTCACTGTTGGAGGTAAATCAAAAATCACTTCTCCAAAATTCATTTTTATTTCTAGTCTGACGCGACACGGGCGCGTTTCGTAAAACTTATTACATTTTCAAAGACTTCACAAATACACAACTGATTAGAACTTGCATTTCCCTGATTTTATATCTACTTTTGAGTGAGGTGGGAAGGGTGATGTGGCATTACATTTGAGTGAGGTGGGAAGGATGATGTGGCATTAGAGGATATTAATAGGGTATTAAAAGTATCAACACAAGACAGAACACGAAACAATGGATATTGAATAGAAGTGTTTGTAGAAAGCCTATTGGTCCATATTTCTTGATGCTTCTATATTGGAGCGGAGTCTTGAGGTGGGTAGAATATAGTTGTGCAATAATTGGCTGTTGATTGCTGGTGTTGACTTCTTGATGTGTAGTGCCTCGCAAACGTCAAGCCGCCTGCTATCGCTGTATCTATCGATGATTTCTGTGTTGTTTACTAGGATTTCTCTGGCGATGGTTTGGTTATGGGAAGAGATTATATGTTCCTTAATGGAGCCCTGTTGTTTATGCATCGTTAAACGCCTAGAAAGAGATGTTGTTGTCTTGCCTATATACTGGGTTTTTTGGAGCTTACAGTCCCCAAGTGGGCATTTGAAGGCATAGACGACGTTAGTCTCTTTTAAAGCGTTCTGTTTCGTGTCTGGAGAGTTTCTCATGAGTAGGCTACTCATGAGAAACTCTCCAGACACGAAACAGAACGCTTTAAAAGAGACTAACGTCGTCTATGCCTTCAAATGCCCACTTGGGGACTGTAAGCTCCAAAAAACCCAGTATATAGGCAAGACAACAACATCTCTTTCTAGGCGTTTAACGATGCATAAACAACAGGGCTCCATTAAGGAACATATAATCTCTTCCCATAACCAAACCATCGCCAGAGAAATCCTAGTAAACAACACAGAAATCATCGATAGATATAGCGATAGCAGGCGGCTTGACGTTTGCGAGGCACTACACATCAAGAAGTCAACACCAGCAATCAACAGCCAATTATTGCACAACTATATTCTACCCACCTCAAGACTCCGCTCCAATATAGAAGCATCAAGAAATATGGACCAATAGGCTTTCTACAAACACTTCTATTCAATATCCATTGTTTCGTGTTCTGTCTTGTGTTGATACTTTTAATACCCTATTAATATCCTCTAATGCCACATCATCCTTCCCACCTCACTCAAATGTAATGCCACATCACCCTTCCCACCTCACTCAAAAGTAGATATAAAATCAGGGAAATGCAAGTTCTAATCAGTTGTGTATTTGTGAAGTCTTTGAAAATGTAATAAGTTTTACGAAACGCGCCCGTGTCGCGTCAGACTAGAAATAAAAATGAATTTTGGAGAAGTGATTTTTGATTTACCTCCAACAGTGAAGCATAATGTACGAAAGATTGAGAAAATTCGTGTTAGAATTATTAATCTTACTTTTTCGGTCATATTTAATAAAATATGTCTACAGGAAAGACTGCTACCAAAATATACTAATATATATATATATATATATATATATATATATATATATATATATATATATATATATATATATATATATATATATATATATATATATATATATATATATATATATATATATATATATATATAATGTGTGTGTGTGCTTACTATTTGTTTGCAGAATCGAGCTATTAGCTCTTGGACCCCGCTTTTCTAACCAATCACTTTTTCCTCTATTACATATATATATCTTTCTAACACACGCACACACACACATCCCCCAAGAAGCAGACTGTAGCAGCTGTCTAACTCCCAGGTACCTATTTACTGCTAGGTGAACAGAGGCATCAAGGTGCAAGCAACTCTGCCCATTTGGTATCGCATCACCCGGGCCATTAGGACTAGGACTCCCAAGCGCTGTCCACTCAGCTACGAGGTGTGTGTGTAATGTGATCACTCTGAACATATATTTGATCACGAGGCAGATACAGGAGATGATGATCGGTGAATCATTGCTAACCAAAACTTTTCTTTCGGTTTTCCCGGAATTAATGACCCATTATATATATTAGATGAAGATATATTGGATTAAGTTAGGATATATTCAATTAAGTTAGGATATATTCAATTAAGTTAGGATATATTACAATCAAGTTAGGATATATTCAATTAAGTTAGGATATATTACAATCAAGTTAGGATATATTTGATTAAGTGAAGGATAGATGAAATTGTTTATGTAATAATCTAAGATGAGGTCTGATAAAGACCTTTTGTGCCCTCTGTAATGCTTTTTGCGCTACCGCTCACAGGATGAGTATGGGGTGCACAATAAACTAGCCGCCTCCGGCGGCAACAATCAAATCAAGCTAGTATATATATTGCATTAAGTTAGGACATATTGTATTAAGTTAGGATATATTGGATAGTTAGAATATATTAGATTAACTTAGAATATATTGGATTAAATTTTGATTTATTGGATTAAGTTAGGATATATTAAATCAAGAAAGGATATATTAAATTAGGTAATATTAGGTTAGGAAATATTTGATTAAGTATGGATATATTAGACGAAGTTGGGATATATTATATTAAGTTAGGATATATTATATCAAGTCAGGATATATTAGGTCAAGTTAAAATATATTGGATAAGTTAGGATAATTTAAGTTAGGATATATCACACTAAATAAGGACCTATTATATTGTTAGGATATATTAGATTAAGTTAGGTTAGAATATATTTGGTCACACGGTATTTGTACTGTATTTATGTGCGTGTTGCCACAGTTGTATATTTAATATTGTTTATATATATATATATATATATATATATATATATATATATATATATATATATATATATATATATATATATATATATATATATATATATATATATATATATATATATATATATATATATATATATATATATATATATATATATATATATATATATATATATATATATAGAGAGAGAGAGAGAGAGAGAGAGAGAGAGAGAGAGAGAGAGAGAGAGAGAGAGAGAGAGAGAGAGAGAGAGAGAGAGAGAGAGAGAGAGAGAGAGAGAGAGAGAGAGAGAGAGAGATTCGTAAGTGAAAACAGGTATATCTGTAACTATTTACATAGTTAGGATGGTTGCAGTCGTGCTCTAGACGTTCTCAAGTCATGTCGACCTTCCCCAGGATGCAACCCACAACAGGCGAGTCACTCCTAAGTACCTATTTATTACTAGATAAAGTTGAAAGGTAATGTGCCCAAACGCCTCTGCCCCGCGCGGGTCCCCCTTCCTTGTAAACTGTTACAACTGATATGAGTGGGGCTTCTATGGGGTTCTGGTAATATTAAGGGGTAAAGGTAGTTAGAAGACAAGAGTATCAAATATGGGAGAGCTAAAAGGCCCGGCCCCCAAAATAAACTATCCACAGTAGTAATAACTTGCTACAAGACCATAAATGTTAGTCTAAGGGTTGATCACTGCGCTCCCACCTTGGAAGAAGAGATACTCTGTAATTCATGTACTTATTTATTAACCCGTTAACAACCCCCCATATACACTCACACCAATAACAATAATAATAATAACTTTACCACACTATCTTACGTTAAAAGCCTTGGTCCACGTAGGCAGGATACAAGGTTTACACTAATAACAAGCTAGGGTAAAGTACTACTGGATAAGCACTGAAGCTGGATGCAGCTTAGGGTAGTGAAACCACGTGGGACCCTAATACAAAACACAACACTTAGGGGTACCCAAACACTGGCAAAATACTATCCCCAGGTCTCCCCAATCGTTACTACCAGAGTAGGCACACTTACACCATATAATACTTAACTTAAGGGTACAGGAACTTCAGGTAAGGGAAATAAGTAAGAGGAGAAGGAAGGAGAGTAGGGATACAGCCACAGAGTAGGTCTTAACCTCACGCCACCAGCCAAGAGAAGACCGAGCTAGCCACCAGCTGCCTCCCTCATGTTGTGGTGCCGGGAGGAGCCTAATTGATCGTGCAGCTAAGCACATTAAAGATCTTCCCCTATGAAACGTATTGTTACTTTATGAATGATTAGAAAGTATTAGTAAGC